CTAATTCTAGGTACAACCGGTTGTACCATATACACTCTCTCCGACAAAAAAAATAGCCCGACACAAGGGAGGGAGAAGCTGCGTCAAAAAGGACCCCCTCTCCTACTGCAGTTCGGCTTCTGCAACGCAACTAGATAGAGCCAGGGGAATTGCAGTGCATAAGGAAGCCCTAATCCAGGACAGAAGAGACGAATAGCACCGATAAATAGCGGGGGAGGCTGCGGAAGAACACCACCACCTATTAGACCAAGATCAAGCGACGACATTCAAAGGGTACAAACCCATGTGGGGTTTTCGGTTCTTGAGGCCGAATTCCCCTCTCTTCTTACTCCTTAGATTTGTTATTCATTGTTCTTAAACTTGTACTCCCTCCGTTCCTTTAAACCCTTTCACTTTTGACTTTGGCCAAAATTAAGGAAAGTGTAATTTTGGTTGACTTTCTAATTTTGCCCCTGATGTGATGGGTAAAAGTAAGATATGATAGTTTGGTTATTAGAGAAAAAGTATGATGTGATAGGTAGGGTATGAAAAAGTAAGGGTAAAAGTGGGTTTTTAATAGAAAGTGGAAGTGTTTTAGGGAATTCAAAAAAAACGAAAGAGGAAGGATTTTGTGGAACGGGGGGAGTATTTCATATTTGTGATGATTAATGCTTACTTTTCTCAAATATTAGACCCGGGTATTTATTTTCTATACTTTAAAAAACTATGTTTACTTTTTCTAAAATTGTTCAAGTCTTTAAAATAATGTGATATGTGATCTTGTTTGTGTTTTTTTCTTTGCTACGGGGGCTTTTGGTGGAGTTATGTTCTGTTTTTAACCTTAGTTTGTTGCCTTGGAATTTGATCTGATGTGGTGTGTCATAGTTTTTATTTTATCCTTTTAAACTTTGTTTTTTAAACCCCCGTCCCCACTTTATCTCTTAGTTTTAATTATTTGTTTTTATTCAATAAAGAGGACAAAAGTAAGCTGATTTTTATAGTTTAAAAAAGTATCTTTCCTTGTGGGATTGATCCTTACTTACCCTATCTATATGTTTTAAGTTAAGGAAAATAATAAATTAATTTGTAGGAGCTACGACACGCCTATCAAAAATATTGTGTAAATGGATTTTATAAATTTGGAAGATAGATCCATTGGCCAGATAAAAACATGTAATAATATATTACATGTTCAATGATTATCTCTAAGCATTCATCATTTTTGTTGCATAACTAGGATACATTACTAGCTGGAGTAAAATATCATAACTCTAGTGAGCATAGAATATAGAATTTATGTAACGCCCCAAAATATACCCTAGAATTATTAATGAATAAATAATCAATTAATCAAATTTGTTTTGATTAAAATAAATTATTGTTGGGCTTTGGGCCGATACGAAATTTGTTTTGACATCTAATATCAAAATCTGGATAAGTCTCATAGAGATAAATCCAATATGGGGACTATTTATGTGGTCTTGATTGGGAACCTGAGTACAGACTCAAATCAAGAGTAAATAAAGAATTTGTTTAGAATGTAAATATTGAAATGATTTGTTGAAATAAATCATGAGAATAATTGATATGAATTAAATGAGAGTACCTTTTATGAAAAAGGTCAATTAAACCAATTTTTACTTTGTTAAAGTCAAACACCCAAAAATGTGGTGTCGGAAAAAGTATAACGAATGAATATAAAAATTATATCGTTAGATAGAGTTCGACTGTCTGATCGCAACGGTGCAAACGGATTTCAATTCAGAGAAAGTTGGACCGAAAAGTGAACCTCATTTGAGACCAAAATTAGTCCCAATCAGGGACTACACACCAAACCGCGCCCTATTCAATTACGCCGATTCCAAATTCGTCGCTCAATCACGGAAGCTGCAAACCTGTGTCTTCTTCTTCTCTGGGCTATTTAAGGACAACCCAACTCCCACATTTCAACACCAAAACCACTCATTCTTCCTTCTATATTGTTCCTTGCTGAGAGTAGAGTGCAGTGGTGCTGTCATCTTTGTGTGAGGTCGCCGGAGCAGTGAGATAGAGTCGCCGGAAGTTTCGCCGGAAAATATTCAAAACCTTCATTTACCTTCGAGGTAAGCCCGTAGATATATCTAAAGATTAGAATGTTCATATAGGTTGTTTTTACGTTCATAAATGGTCATTTGGTTGAGTTTTGTGTTTGACATGTTTGAAGAACCAAGAATCATAAACCTTGAATTTGATGTTAAAAATATGTTCTAATGATTCTAAAATGATCTATGAACCTTGGAGAACATTTCTATATAATTTAATTGAAGTTTGGTAACTATAATTGATATGTCCGAAAATGGACCGAAGGTAGAAGACGATGAACAGTGATCGAAAATCGATTATTTTCTTCGTAAGAATCGATTAAAACTTGTTTAGATAACGCGTATCAAAATAAAAAAATAATAATAATCGATTATATTAAGGTATAAAATCGATTTTGGTATTTAATCGATTAAAATATATATTAAAATCGATTTTACAAATTTAATCGATTAAAATATGTTGATAAATCGATTTTACAAATTTAATCGATTAATATATATTTAAAAATCGATTTTTATATTAATTTATTGAATAAATCAATTTTTCCTCAATTCCAGTGTCCAGAAAATATTCTTGGAAATATTCTTTGAAAATACTAATTAATTATGAACAATTTAAATATGATTTTGTATAATAAATGATGTTTTTGACATATAAAACATTATGTGATGCATGACGATAAGTTCAGGTGTTAACACCCGAGACTAGGTCGTTGTTTGCTATTAAATATTATGTTGAATGATCATTATGATGAATAATTATTATGGATAATTATGAATGATAAACCTACTGATTAAAATGATTATTGATGATTAAGTCATGATTAAAAATGAATTAATGGTGATTATGAAAACAGTGTATATTGTTAAGGATATCTAGAAGAACTCTAAGATATACCCACTTGTATATTGATGATGATTATTAAGGATATCTAGAAGAACTCTAAGATATACCTACTTGACCAATTCATATT